GTGCCAGCGGTGTCTCATTGCTGTCCCCGACACTATACTGCAGATATTCAATCTCCAAAAACCCCCTTGGACTTTCTGTTTCTCTGCCAGCTGTGGTGCAGTCTCTGTCCAGGAACTGAGAGAACAAACTCATTCCAGCAGGCAACCGCCAGAATTTGTATTCTCTTGGATTTGTGTATTTGAACTGATAAGAGGTTTAAGAAAAGAAAAAGAAGGAAAAAAAAAAAGGAAAGGGTGAAAACTGTTCTTGAGATCTTATACCAGGAAAACTCGGAGTAACTCCATAGAATGTATTGGTATAAACCCCCATAGCTCTGCATATTTAAGGTGATAATAATGGTATTTCAGACAATGTTGTCACATGTATTTTAAAAGTGAGAAATATTCTGAAAAGGAATGTGTGAACATGATGTTAATACGGTGTTACAGATATTGCCCTGATCCTGCTTACTGTGCTGCTCATGTACTCAATTTGGTGAGAGTGGTTGTTATTTCTAGAAAAAAAAAAAAAAGGAAATACTGTCAGAGTAATTTCCCTGATTGTGAACATCTCTCACACCCATTTTTTAGTCCAACTATGTAATTTTAAGGTTCTTGGGTCCATTCCTGTACAACGCAAATCACCTACAATTGCCATGGACTTCAAGTTACTCCTTTTAGACGCAGCAAGAAGATACAGGTGATAGTGCACAGCTGCTGGTTAGACCTAGTCACACAGCTATTGTAAAAACTTTTTTTTTTTTTTTTTTTAGAGCAAGGACTTCATAGATCACACAGCATATCGCTTCTTATTTCCTTCTATTCATTGAATCTCTCCTGCATTGTAGTTGATTTCTCTTTGGAAATCATTAAGGCTCGATTTCAGCAGGGATACACATCTATTTTTGTAAAGCTCCCAAGTGAACATCACACACTAGTTTCCAGAGCATTTATTTTGATCCCAAAAATTGCAGACCTCAGGTAATCATCGAACCCACTAGTTTAAAAACATTACTACCTCAGTCTTGAATCATTATATTATTATCATTATTATACTTCGGTACTACAAGCTGGAGAACAATAAAGGCAACTGAGAAGAAAACAAGTGTCAAAAATTATTCTGGTGGTCAAGAGACTATTTTCTTATACTTTACATAATTATTTTAAAAGCTTAAAAAACCCTTTCTTAGTGTTTCTGCCTGCAATTTTAAGGGCCTTTACACTTAATGTGTTGCTTCAACAGACACGTTAAATTGGCCAACTGAGTGAACAGCATCACGTGCTCTTCAATTGTAAGAGATCACAAGGATAGGATAAATGATGGGATAAAAAAGTGGGGGAGACAAACGTTGTGGCCCACGGTGTTCTGGACTGGTATTGTTGCCATTAACAGCAATAACAAAAATGTATCTGAATATCTTAAGGTTTCTATTAGTTTTAAGTATATGCTGGAGAGATTAAATGAATTTAAAACCTGTTTTTCTGAAGATTAAAAAGAAAATCCAGAGAAAGTTGCATTCACTTTCACAAAATATATACATTATATTTTCCAGATTTTAGCATAGCGGCCCAGCAGTAACTCCCCCTCCCCCCCCCCCCCCGAATTTAATATAGATACTGAAAACCAGCATCCTCAAATGTCAGGTAACTACCATTTTTATACATTTCCATACACGGAAGCAGCACAGGTAAACAGCTGCTCTCCATGTTGGTTTTGGAGCCAACCAACAGCTTGACCAACATTGTCCCAAAATGAAAGCAAACAGAGTTTTTCAGTCTCTCTGTGGTTCTTGCACAGGGAGGGAGAGGGGAGGCGCAAGGCAGAAGTCCCGCAGGTTGCTAATGCGGGAGAAGGAGCAGCGTTTCCCCACCGATTCGTTTGCGCCGCTTACAGGCCACTCTCCCTCTTGTGCAGGATATGGCCCATGGCTCAGAGCAAACAAGAAGCAGACCTCACAGAGGAAATATTCAGCTCTTGGATATTAAACGATTTACATTTTAACACAGGGAAGGGAGCACAGTTCAAACCTTTAAGGGAAGGATGCCTTCTACTAAGTTTTCCAGGCTGCCTTGAAGCCCCAGAGGTGTCCTGGGGCACCGGGCTCCTCTGACCGGCCATGACTGACGCTGGAGAAGGGCACCGCGCCGCCTTGGGCACACGGGGTTGCGGGGCAGTAGAAGACCTGCAGCACCACGTTGCCGATGCCCGAAATAGAAGCGGGGTGGTGGCGAGGCGCCGGAGCTGTACCCACTGGCGAGGCTGGGGCCATGGCGGGCAGGAAGCAGGGAGAGGTGCTGCTCTCTTTGAGAGTGGGCTGGGGGAAGATCCCCACCCTGCTGCCAGCCAGAAGAGCAGCCTGTGCTATTTTTCTTGCTTCCTCCTCATGTATAATTTGTACAATTATAGGAGAAAGGATGTTTTCCCCCTGCTTCTAACCCTTCATCATTAGATGAAAGTGCAGCCCCATGGGTCCAGATCCACCCCTCATTGATGCCGTTTTGTTTAGAAATGAACTCACTGGGGAGCCAGGAGGTCTGCTCGGGGCCTTTGCCGAGACACAGACAGGCTTTGGGTGTCATTTCCCAGGGCAACACTGCAGGAAGCGTTGAGACTAATCAAAGAGCTACTGTGATGCCTGGTTGCCTCACGGGTATTATTTATTTATTTGAAACTTTCTAATAGTTACACTAGTTACTGAAAATAAATCTGGGAAAGGGACAGTAGCAGTGTCCGATTCTGTGTACAATCCAGTTTTGCAGATCACTTTATAAGAGTAATCTGAAATAAATCAATTTATAAATCCATTTATAAAAATCCATTCAAGGATCAACCACTGCTCTACTCTCTTTTTTTTTTTTTTCTTGCTTCTTTCCACAACTTGATTCTCAAGTGCTTTACAGCAGAAAAGCTCTACCAAGGACTTCACCATAGTTTCAAGACCACTGCTAAAGTAAAAGTAAAGCTCCTTCCACAGACTTGAATCACAGCAGCAAACACTGGTATGGTATTGGTATGAAGAAGTTACATCATCAAAAGCAAAAAGCAGAAGTGATTTAACCCCTCAGCTAACAGTACTTGCTCCAGATATTCAGCCAAATCTGTAAAGTTACATTTGAAAGCAAATATAAAGGAAAATATGCAGTATCTTTCTTCATGAACACTCACTTAGCATGCTTCCTTTAATCTTAGGAAATAATTGAATGAATCATTCATGTGATTTGTCCAAGAGTTAATAAGTGAGATGAACTGTCACCATGGAAAGTATTCAGATACTTCATAATAAAAGTACTTTCTTTCATTTTTAATTGCGACTCAAGTTACTCGTTAACAATGAAAACCAAAATTGTAGAATGTTTCCCTCCTCAACATTTCACTAGAAAACTACTAGCAGCTCCAGGTTGGCCTCTTCCTAAGCAGCAGTATGTGCATGTAGCTTGAAGAGAAGTCCAGCATTTATGTTACGGGTACCCTTACAGAACAGCTCCTGCATGCTCAACAGAACAGCGTCTACCAGCCACAGCTCCCAACTTTTCTTTTCCTTGTTTTCTTTGCCAAGTAATACCCCAGAGAACAGAAGCTGGGTCTGCAAACCGGCTTGTGTACAGTCACCAGCACCCTGGGTGCCACCGTTTGGAAGCCCTCACCTTAAGGCTCTTCTGCCACCAGTCTGCATTTCCTCCATTTATTGGCAAGACCTCAGAAAGAAAATAAGTATATGGCAAAGGAAACAATGGTGAAATATTGTGAGACTCTGACAACCCCTCCTTCATTCCATATTACACCCTCCTTCAGAAAACACCTCGGAACAAATTAACATATGTGTATTTTTAAATTAGTCATATTTTTGCTGGGAGTAAAAAAAGCTAAGAAACAATTAGATTCGTAAATGAAAATGTATTTCACCTTTATACATGCTATACATGGCATGCAAATACAGAAATCTACAGATTATACAAATGACACCATAATAAAATATAATGTGACATTTGTCAAACACAATGCATCACAGCAAAACAAACTGGTTTTGTTTGTTTATTATTTAGGAAATAGATGGAAGGACTAATTGGGAAGACACAGTACCATGCTACAGCTTACTGCACAGTCAAAAGAAAGTATTTCTCTGAAGTACACTAACATAAACAGAGCTGGATTGTTGTAGGTATGATTTCTTTATACATCGTATATAACGTCATTGGTTACTTTCCCGTTGCTGGCTTTAAAGAGCACAAGAACGGGGCTACAACTGAGCTCAAGCTACACTGTGAATTCCCTTAACGTGGAAAATAAACACAAAAAAAGCAAAAATGCCCACCCCCCAACCTTTCACATCTGTGTTAGTGTCCAAAGAGAGTTGTTTATAATTTATTCTTACAAGGAACTGGACAGAAGTGTCCTCAAAGCAGCACATGATCTAGCATAAAGTTATCATAGTTCACCAACAGAAATAAAGTTAACATTGTATGGCACGTAATGTCTAGACATTGTACATCTTGATGTGAAACTTTCCATACAGATGCTTACAGAACGTTAAGGGGGCTTGCGGTGTTCCCCGTGTGTGTCTCAGCCTTTGTAT